AAAAGATTAATTATTGGCAACAACAGGACTCATACTTCTCGTGTTTTCAAAGGCCAAAATCAAATTACCTTATAGTAGCATATATTCTCATTAATTTCATTCCCACTAGATGGCAGGACATTTTCAAATAAGCTGACTAGATATAAGTTGGTTAGTCTATTGTTTGAAGTCTGTATTTTCAAACCTATAATTGTGAGCTCAGTTGATTTATATTGCCACGCAAGCAGAAACCAATTCCCCTAAACGCGCTCGCTCTCGCTCCTGTTGAGTGGAGTTGCTTAGTTTTTCTCCAAGCCTTCTGACCTCGGTGCTGAGCCAGGTATGTGTACAGTGGGGTTTTTAAGCTTTTGCCAATAACAGGGCAAACAGCTGTTAAAATTATTAGACCCAACCAGACATAAATCACCAAACACATGACAGATCAGATACTAAAAAATAAATCCAAATCAAATAAGACAAAACATAAAAATAATATATAATAAAATAAAAAACAAATAATATAAACTAAAAAGCAGAATACATATAACTATAATAATATAAATAATATATAATAAATATATTGATTATTAGGAAATTACATAGCATATATCGATGAACCAATTCTGTCCTGACCAGTTAGTACTAGACACAAGAAGAGTGAAAGTCATTGTTGTTCTTAAAGAGAAACCTGCCATTGCCAAAATAACATAAAATGTACATGTAGTAAATTACTTGGGGAGATAATCATATAGATATACAACTTGAATTAAATGTACTGCTTTGTGCGTTCTGACAAAAAGTAAACCCAAATGAATTGATACCAAAAATCAATTGATAAGCATGTCAGTTACATTCAATGGGTAAAGGGTAGCTGTAGCGTCAACTGGGTATTCTTGGAAATAGAATCCTATAATACGGGACTAAAAAATAGAAATACTCATCCATAATACTTGATGTCATTGTGAGAATATCTAAAAACTATATATTCAATAAACAATAACCTTAACTATACATCATACCTATAATAACATATAAATGTCTGCGACCACTATATAACAGCAGTGGTTTTCGGCTTCCACACACCTAAAAATAAAAGCTAGATGTCTTTGCAAGCCCTCATCCACTAGCTGTCTTTTAACCTGTTCAATAGATCTCAAATAGAAAAACTCATTATATATATTTAGCCATCTTTGATAAACAAATTGAACTACAATCTAACTTTAATACTTACTACAGTGTTCTAGTTTCTCAAAAAACATAAAAATAGATAATTCTCATTACTTCATTACTCTTTAATACGAAAAAGTAAAATATTACTATATATACTTATTGTTCCTGCCAAACAGTAATTAGTCACACTTAGTTATATTGCTTTTCCTGCCAACCCCCACAACATTTTTAATTCATCACTCTACCCAAAATCAGACTAATCTAACAATTTAAATCCAGTTTATATTTTGTTAAAATCAAAGTAATGGGAATATTCCCAGCACTGAATGTAAACCATTCACATCTTTCTAGGCAGGTTTCCTCCACAATTACAAAATTTTAATTCAAGGATGTGATATGGATTATAGATATGGATTCCAAAAGCAGTAATCTCATATTATTTCTAGTCTATTTACTGTAGAATAATTATTAAGTAATTAGTAATAAGTTGACACTACAAGATAACTGGGGGAAGTAAAAATTATAATAATTTTTAAACTTTCCCAAAACTGGTAAACTATCCGCTAATTTCAGATTAATAATTTTTACTACTGTAAGAAAAATTATAATAAAAAAAACAAACATACGCTTGTATATAAATCAAACAATAGCCACAAACATAGTTATTAAAACCATATATTTATTCTTTAGTATTGCTAGTTTGAATAACCTGAATATATAACTTGAATACATAATTTATCCTCTTATCTTTAATTCGTTGTTTCTGAAAGAAAATAACTATAAACACACCATGCAAAATATCAATTTTCTCTTTTTATATTTACTACAAAATCTTTGTCTAATTTATCTTGCCTACCTACCTGCGTTGCTTTTATTTCCAACGTTTCCACTGCTCTCATTTATGGCTCCACCATTTGTTGTCACCTGCAGCACAGTGGGACCTGGCGCTCACTGCTAACTGGAACTGGACTAGCATTAACCAGGGAGGGAAAGATTAATGGGTCAATGGACTGGCCCTAAGGTCCAACTTCTGCTGGAGAAGCTCATAGGGTTTCCTTAGTAATGACTGTTGTGTTACCACACTAATATACAAGAATACTATTTAAACATCAGAATATAATTGTTACTCATAGTTCGTTAACTGAAACCGATGGGTTTCCCTGACAGTATACTCAACAAGGACGAAAAGATCAAAAAGCAATTTGAAAATCATGAAAATAAAGAATCAGTCCAAAAACGGGTATAATAATAATAATAATAATAATAATAATAATAATAATAAAATAGAAATACATTGTTATTATTCAGTTTGGGGCTTTTTTTCTGGTTCAGGGGGTGTCTACATTGAAGTGAAAACATGACACTCTTCCTTAAGTTTCATTTTTTGTCATCACCCAGTGTGGTTTGACGAGATTGGGGAAATGCTCAGCAGAAGCGAATCTGGAGATTTGCATTTGTGACGACGCTCCTGTATGTTTGGTGTGCGGTTCTGCAGGTTATCATGACGGTGAAAGTGCTTCTGGCCCTTCTCCTTTTCCTCCTTGCATCATTGTCAGGTAAGGGAATGCTCTTAGTGCTGTTAAAGGATGTGAATGCAGCGTTATATTTGATTTGATTGAATTCTGACGTAAAAAAGAGAAATAGAGGAAGAAGGAAAAAAGAAGCACACCAAAGCAAAAAAAACAACTGATTTAATACATAGAACATGGTCATTCGAATACAGAAAATTCAAATGAAATGCATAATCAACCATAATTGAATTCAACATAGCATTATGCATTAGCCTACCAGTGATGGAAGGAAGTAGCCTATTAAAATATTTTACAACATGGAGTAGAAATACTCTCTATATTTCATAAGTTAAACTTCTGCATTCAAAATTGCATTAGCATTAAAATATAGACTACTTAAAATACCAAAAGCAAAAGTACTGATTATGTACTAATGCACTGATATCACTATAATGTTGTAATGTAAAAAATAATAACAGCAAAGACTGTCGTGTATATGCCACATTATGTGTAATAGATATTACACATTATCCAAATATAACATATACTAAGTTATTTTCCTTTTATGTGTAATGTACTGACCAGTGCTGATTTTTCCAAAACTGACCCATTTTCCTTCACACTGAGTTCACAAGACTAGGTAACAGGAAAGAGGATGTGGTTAAGAACCCACATGTGCTTTCATAACCGTTGTATCAAGTAAACACACTGGTTCACATATAACCCTGTAAAAGAAACAAATCTACCTTCATACACATACATAACTGAAGGAATTCAGTGGTTGAGCAGGAAACTGTTCATCACAGTGGCGTGCACAGACTTTTTGAAGGGCAGGGGCGGAAAATAAAAAAAGGGCACATATAGCGCGTCCTCACCACTGTAGAGGGCACTTTAGACACGTTTTATATGTTATACAAATGGCACATTATATAGCCTTAAAACAGACTAACTCGGTTGAGTTTGGGCTGATAGGATCAGATCCACAAGAACTGGTGTGGTTTTCAACGTTGCACACACAGCGACATGGGATTTATGAAGGAATAAATCCCGTAGGGGGTCTGGGGTCTTGTACCCCAGAGCATTTTCTTTAAGTAGATCCATCCTGTATTCTAGGTGCTATTTGAAACACCATAATTTAGCCACCAGATGATCCAAACTGGTTCTTGTGACGATATATTCTGGTCTAGATCAACGAAAGGGGCCAGACATAAAGTCATGCAAACAGTAAATGTGTCGATAGTACTTTCTTGGTCCTAATTAGTCTTTTGGAGTGTTATTTTTTCCACCAAGAGGGCCAAATTTCTTATTTTGCCAAGCAGCGAGGGGGGGAATGAGGGACTTTTTAGCACACGTTGTTTGGGAGGCAATAGGTTATTCCAAGGAACATTGGAATTTCCCATTGTGTGACAAATAAATGGAATTATATGCTATTACTCCTTCCTGTTTGTTCCCAAACAAAATCATTGCTTTTCACTCTGTGATTTGTTTTTTTAACCACACACACACACACACCACCACACACACACACACCACACAGAGGGGAGAGAGATGGTGGAGTGATGGGGCAGTTTCTTGGGGTTAGGTTGCCTTGCTCAAGGGCACCTCCGCAGTGCACAGGAGGTGAAACTGGCACCTCTCCAGCTACCAGTCCACACCCCATATTGTGGTCTATAGGACTTGAACCGGCAACCCTCCGGTTCCCAAGCCAAGTCCCTACACACTGAGCTACTGCCGCCCTCAATGTTTAATCTTCTTCCTGCCTGACTCATCTTTTGATTTAGCCTTATTGTCCACAATGTGACAGTATATAGTCTACACTTTTCATTCCAAACATTGATCTGATTGACTCTTACCTAACAAAAACAATGTTTTATTTAAGGCTGTGTGGTCAAACCTCGGCCTGGTTGCCCAGTTCATTGACAGATGAGGGGGAAGTACTTTGACTCTTCATGCTTTTTGTAAAACTCATGCATTTGCAATTTGATGGAAAGGAGTAAAATATAGACCTACTTAGAACTATGATACCTCAGATATGAATTATTGATCCTCAGAGAGGAAATAGTGTTTGCAGCACAAGGACAGACAGACATAAAGGAGGGAAAGTAAAAAAACAAACACAATGTTAAAGGGTTTGGAGGCTTTGATTCTGCTCTTAAGGTCAGGGTTTTTAATTTTAGTTTAATGTATGTTTGTATTTTGTATGCTACTGGATGCTTGAATTTCCCTCGGGATAAATAAAGTATCTCTCTCTCGCTGTCTGTCCAGCAGGAGGCGGTACCGCAGACACAAGCTGCCTTTAAACCCCGCAGAAGCAGAAGCTCTGCTGTGTGTCATTGGTTGTATCAGCAGCGTTTGAATGGCAACAGGAAGGCAGCTAACTTTAACCTCGTTATAACAACATCTTTTTAATGACTACACGCAGAGTTGCGTATCGATTAATCGGCTGATGACACGCGGTTTCAAGTCTGGGCGACGTCACGGGTGTGACTCGTGCTAAACATCTGTCTGCAGAGGTGAGTTACCTTTAAACTCAGGGGCCGGCTAGTCCAGTGTTAGCTCACCCGGGTTAAAATCCACACGGATATAAGCAGCAAGCGACCACAGGGACATTTTTATTAACACACCCGTTGTTTGGTTTACTTTGTTGGGTTTTTCTATTCGTGTTGGGAGTTGCTCTCAGTCGGCTTCACACCGGTTTGGGAACACGGTGTCCTCTGGCTGCTGTCGCCTCTGGGGTCAAACACAAACTGGTGTTTAAAGTTGGATTTTAGACTTTGTCATTTGGATTTGCATCAAAATGAAATGAGGTTGCAGTGGCACATAGCACAGCAGGAATAAAGGGGAGGCAGTACGTACAGTCTAAGAATAGATATATGCAATTTAATATTTCTTTTTTCTTGGATCCTTACTGTTTTTCCTCTTGTACATAGTGTTTATATTGTATTATATTATTTCCCTACTCTTACTGTTTTTATACAGTTTTTTCTCTATCCACTTTGTTGCTGTAACATTGGATTTCTCCCATTGTGGGACAAATAAAGGAATATCTTATCAAATGTAAAAAGAGAGAGAAAAAAACTTTTGTATAGAAAGACCAGTAAGATAATATATATTGCACAGGGTAGTTGCAGTTAGCTGATGATGTTTAAAAGCGACACTGACATACCTTCCTGTTTGAGGATCTTTGAAACTTCATTAGCTTCAGGTTGTCCTGCAGCGTGACCTTTGAACTCTCACTCAGGAGATAAGTGGAGATAAGCATCACTGATCAAGGAGAAGTAGACATGATTGTTTTAACTGCCCAGTCACATCAGAGGTGGAAATAATTAGAGGGTTGTATTCACATATTATTTGGGAGATGATAATTAGTTATTATTAGTAACCAATGGTTACAATGTGGATTTTAAATTAAGTTTCCCCTCAATTTTAACTGAAGAGCAGACGGATTGTTTGGTAGACGTTAGTCATCTGTCAGATGTTCTTCTATACCTTTTATACTATAATAATTATCCTTTTATTATCTCTGTATTAGGCCATTGTGGGCAGTGCTGCAAATCAATGACACAATTGGATTTGTTGTATGATTATATACATTATATTTCCATAAAAAGTTATCTAATATGCTGGATCAGCCTGAGACAGACATTCCTGTGGTTATTTTATCTACAAACCCTGTTTTTGTACATTAAGTCTTTCTCGATATGATATATACTAAAAGCTTGACTGCATACCGTCTCGTCACTCGAGAGAGGATTTTATCCATACTGCCCATATTCCTAGTGGGGCATTCATAAATGATACTGAAATAGTTACAAGCAGATTGCCACTGTTGCTTTCACATTAACTGTGTACAACTGAATTACTGTTTCAGCTACGTTTACACATTTGTTTGGGTTTTACATAATTGATTACATTTATTTCAGCAGTATGAAGGTCAGTGTAACAACACTTAATGAGGATCGTTAGATAG